AGACCAGGAGAGATGATAATCAAATTAAATGCTGTATCACACAAGCTGATATTTTGTAGCCTTTCTAGTTCTGCAGCCCTTTAGATTCAAAGAAATAGCTTCAAAGGTAACATTTCTAGAAGCAGTTTATTTTTAGTTATATAGGTATACTGTTAAAATACACCCTTTGTTCTTTTACCACACAGCCCAAAGTTTGCAGTGTAACCTTAACTTTCTTAGCTATTTGAGGCCAAATTTGTAGATGCTTTTTTTTTAAAAAAATCCTGCTGTTTTGTAAAACTGAAAGAACATATTCCATGAAACCTTGTAAACAGCAAATTCAATTTACTAGTTAAAATAATTTTCATTTATTTGATGTAAAAATGACATAATTATATACAACTCTGAATTACTTTCTGTTGACAAAAGGTTAATTGCTTAACTGATTAAGACCTGTGGCAGGATACAAGATGCTTCTTTTCCCAGACTGCTTTTGCTGAAGATTTTAGGAAGCATGGTGTTTTATAAACTTCAACAAACTTCTGTTTTTTTAAAATCTTAAGGTTTTTGTAGTGCATTTTCTGTTTTTGTACCTCATTCATAGTTAAATGTTTCCTCATAGTCTAATGTTTCATTTTTGACAAGCCATTAAAAATGTGCCAAACCTCAAAAATATTATCCTGTCCTGTTGTGTAAGGTCTAGCATAACACAGGGAAAAAAAAATCGAACACAGGAAAAATGTTAAGCTTAAGAGTATTTTCTCACTTTCTTCAGTTTTGCGGGAAACTGAATCTAGATAATCTTTGTAGCTAAATACATCTGTGTTAAACATTTAAAATAGGTAGTACACGTGGGAAAACTGATTGGAGCTTAAAACTTGTACAAATTGACAGCCTCTCTTCACTCCATTTTTCATCCTAAAGAAGTCTGCAAATATTCTTAGCTCACATCATTATTGCTCATCAGCGGTTCTAATTAGCTAAACAGGAGTTTGTCTCAGTCATTGATCATCATCAGCTTCTTGACAGTGCCTGAATTTTTTTTTTCCCCCATATTCCAGTGGACTTTTTTTAATATATTGTAAATACATAATGGCTCAATTAATTAAGTTGGTCAAAGATTTTTCTTCATATTTGCTACCTTTCTAAAAAAGAGGAGGGGATTGCTGCAAGTCTTAACAAGTCTCATTTCAAGGTGCAACAGCAGATCCAAATATGATGTGCAAGTTCCAGTCGTACTACCTTGAGTGTCTGTGGGGAACTGTCCTGTGACAAGCATTGGAAGTTGTCCTATGCCGCCAGGAGAAGCTGCTGATAAAGTTCCATATGAGGTTTCAATATATGCTTTAGGCTTCTGACAACATCCATTGTGTGCTTAAATTATGATAATTAGGATTTTTTCTTTAGCAATGGGTGGTCACTGGTGAAACTATTTTTGGGGGCATTACTACAGCCTGTGCTATCTTGAGAGTCTGTAAGAAAACCAAAAAACCGTGGAATTTACTTTAGACTTCCCCACTCATTATGATGACAATAGACCTGTATTTATGAACTTTGTTTCTTGGCAGCCTTGTTCGAAGGACTGTTTGACTGAGCATCGGATAAACAGGGAAAATACTACATTTAACTAGAAATGCACTTTGAACCATTGGCTAGTGTGTGCCTGTGTTACAGGCACATTTTTTGCTTTAACAAAGGTCTGTTTTTACTCTCCAATCCCGGACTTTATTCTTCAGACCTCCTTCGTGCAGTCTTCTCCTAAAGTCACAGGGCTCCATAAATTCTTGACTACCAATAATACACCAGAATTAGCTGTGCATGCTATTTTTCAGTTCTCCAGAGCAGTTTGTTCTTTTGCTTGATTCTTGGCTGGTTTATTCACTTCCTGTTCTCTCTTTAAAATAAAAAAACCCCAAAACCCCACAACTGTAGAGTTCTTTTGAGCCTTGCTTTGGGAAATCTACCTGACCCATCAGGTTTTCAGATCAATTAATCCATTAGAAAACAAGTTTAATAAATCTTCAAGTGATGATTGCATAGCTGAGTTAAGAGGCTAATTATCCAGTATTTGTATTTAATGGGGCCTCATTTTAAATAAGACTGACTTTGTGCGAGTTGATAGTGGTTAGAGGAGTTGGAAAGACAATGGCATATTGTGGATGGTAGATATAGAATGAGTAGTTAAAGCAATGGTTTAATTTAAGTAGAAATGTAAAATAAAAACAGCTGAATTAAAATAGAAAGGGAAATACATCACCGTGGGAACAAAGAATGGATAGGACGTGTCAGCCAGCGATTAAGGTCAGGATACTTTTGAGGGCTGGAGGCAATGCTATTCAGTGGTTCATGGGGTTTATGTGTGCGTGTAGTGCATTGTATGATTCTTTCTGTGTCTACGCGTTACTATTCTAAATACTTTGTAGTAAAGACCTGCTTTGCTTTTTGAATTCTGAGGCTCTTAAAATTTTGGATCAAGCAGTTATGCATGTGTCTAATCTTAAATTCTTAAGTTGTCTGGCTGTAATTAAGACCTGAGGAAATTTGGAGTGCTATAATACTTACAGTTTAGACATAGATTAATGTAGGTCCATCAGTTCCTCAGATAGATTATGGTGTAACGTGCTTATGGGAGAGAGATACCTTCTTCACAAAATATTTGCGTTTTATGTACTGCAACTATTATCTTTGAAAAGGGGTAATTGTTGATAGCCATTAAGGACCCCACAGCAAAGTAATTAAGTATGAAGAAGCATTGGTATTTTTGTACTGGAGCAGTTTTTGGTTCATTTAAGTTGTGGCATAATGTACAGTACCTATCATGAACAGTATACATGTTTCAGGAACATGCACAAACTTCTGTGATGAATATTATACAAATAATCTATTCACAGACATTTTTCCTTATTAACTCCTAATTTTTGAAGTTGTCCAATATCTTTTAGTACAAAGTTTTATAAGCTTATCAGAAAGTCTTTTACCATTTTCTTAAAACCTGACTGAGAATGATTTCTGTAAACTAGTTATGCATTATAAGCGGGGTGGGTCAGTTTCATTAACTGTCATGTGTTATCGAACCTGTTTGTTGTTTTCTCTCTTGTGCTCCCTTTTTTGTCCTTAGGGTTTTTTTCAAAGGATGTCACAGTGTAACCTTTGGAATACACCAGATAATTTCATATTTGTATGGATCTCTGTAATTGCAGTCTACTTAGTTCAGTTTCAGTAGATGTTCAAAGAGAAACTATGAAAAACTGGCTGTACTATGTACTTCACTGCTCATGTCTTCCTAGCAACCTATCACGACAATTCCTTGATGCTTCTGATTGCAGGTGATCAGATGCTTTGAGGTCAGGATCTGATGTGCATTTTTCTGTTAAGTTTCTGTCTCAGTTAAAATGTTAAATACCCCTTTCAGACATGAAATGTCTTTTGCAATACTTGATGAATATTCATGGTTTCACTTTTCTCTGCTCATTACAGCTCCTGAATTATTTTCTTTATGGAAGTAGACTTTTTTAATGGCATACAACTGCTTAAGATCCAGTATATTTTTGTTTCTCCTAGATAAATGTAATTTAAATACATATCTTTTCAGCTAGGTTTTTCTTAGTTTTCTTCCAGTGCTACAGCACATCAGTGCTGCTGTATTTGCAGTAGGAGAGTGCTACTTACAGTTATGATGCCTTGAGACCTCGGTTTCCAAAAAGCTTGCTTTTAAATTCCATACCATTTTTATTTAATTCTTTATTTACTCAAGATCAGACTAAATATTTTAGCAGTTATAGAATTTTATTTAAAAAAACATGGTATTGGATGGCCTGTGGGGACAGTCTAGTTTAGCCTTTAAAATCACTGATAACAGTAGAATTACGCAGTAATGCATAATAGTGGAGAAAAATAATTGCCCATATATCTACTATCCTTATTGGTCTCTGTTACAAAATGCTTTAGTAGATGAAGCCTTTTGTGCACAGCTGGATATTCTCATCCGCTTTTGATCAGATTTACAGACTCATGGATACCACTCTTCCATTCCCTTCCACCTCTGAAACATTCCTATTTTGGTAGAGCAGAAGTTGTGCAAGTAGGATTCTCTGGCTTCTAGCGGTGTCTTATAACCAGCCATAATGGAAGTTTAACTGTATTGTGAGAGCAGGAGTAATCTGAATGAGTTTCTGCTTCTCTGTCACCTGTGGTGCTGGGGATGCCTGAAATATTTGGCCATTTTTAGGGAATATATGTTTCTCAGACCTTTTGTCACAGATATATGCTGGAACTCTGTCTTGTGCTAAGGAATCTCTGTGTATCCCTACTATTGCAACATTTATTTTCTTTCTTTCTGCCTAAAACAGAAGCCAGTAAGGGCATCAACATTTAAAACTCAGTCAAGAAATAGGATAGCAATGAGATGAGGTGGTTTGTTAAACAAAGCATCAGCTGGTTTTCTACGAAATGTTGCAGAGATGATTATAGCCCTGCACTTATTAACCACATAGAGAGGCTCTGCTTGTCCCTATTATCCAAGCTTCTGAGCTGTCTTTTTTTTCCCTGATAAAAGTTACAGGTTCTATCCATGCGAAAAATAGTAAAATAGCTATCCATGATGTTCAAAAGTGTTGTTTCAGACATAGAAATGCCATGTAGTTGAGAGAAGGACTTCAGAAACCCAGGCAGCTTAGTGGCTTTACATTGCCAAGAAGGGAAAAAGCATTTTGCTCAGTCTGTGGACAAGTACACTTTCTGTATTTGGGAAAGAATGAGAAAGATAATTCCAGCTGCTTAAAAATGTATTTTAAGACCTCCTGCTTCTGTTTCTTTTTGAACAAAGTTATGTTAGCTGTTTACAGATGTAATTTGCTGTCACTTGCCATATGCTCCCTGATTAATTCTGCAAGGCCTGTCAGCTTCAGATAATTTAATTTTCTGTGCTTTAAAATGACATTCATTATCAGGACATGAAAAATTCAAATGATTAACTGCAAATTATGACTAATAAAGTGTCTGGTTTTTTTGTTTGTTTCCAGAGAAAAGCAGAAAACTGAAGTCAAGGACAGAAGGGTTTTAGAGATTTTGCAAGCCAAAGACAGCAAAATAGAAACCCTAGAACAGGTTCGTATTATGTTTAAATACAGCAGTTAAGAAAACTTCTATCATTGACATCAAATTTATATTTCCTAAGATGTGAAAATAGTTTGCTATTGTGTCTTAAGTTGTGTCTTAAGGTGAAAGTTGCAGGTGATTCAGAGATGATAACCTTCTGATAAAGTATTAATTAAAGTCTTCTGAGTTGTTAAAAAGTTGACCTTTCACCTAAAAAGTTCCTATGATTTTAGATGAAACTTTTTCTGAAAAAAAATTATCAACTCATTGCCTTATTTTGCCTAATGGATTGACCTAAACTTGGATTTTAATCTAGAAGAGTTCCAACTATGTTTAGGTTTGTAATGTGTCTGTGGTTTGGAAAGATTTGCCATCCTGACAAACAAAAATAAAACATTTCTAGAGTAATGAGGACTAAACATGTAGTATCCTAAAAGCAATACAGCTATGTATTTTAGTGTTACTAACCTATAACAATATTTATTAAGTTAACTGTTAGCATAAACTATAAAACAATACTGACAAATCCAGAATGTCATACATAAGTCTTATGTCGTGTATTCTCTATTGAACTGTTCACTCAAAACTGAGTACTGTATATTAGTAAAAAAAAATTAAATGAAAACCATGTATTGAGCCAAGCCATTGGTGAAATTGAGGAAATATGAGCTCATTTTCTAAAAATCAGAATTATTCTTTGAAAAGTAACTAAAGCTTATGAACCCTTCATAGAATTTGAAATATGATACTTATGAAATCCAACACTAACAAATACTAAATAAACACAAGAGAACAATAAACATAGCACCTTCTTTTTCTCCATAAATCTCAAATGACTACCTTCTCAAGACTGAGGAGAACAGAATGTGCTTTTCCATATTATGAGGAATGTTAATAAGAAAAAAGTCATAATCAGACCAAGTGTGATATGGAGGGAGAGAAAAAGAATTAGAATTACTTCACAGATAATAAAGCTGATAGCAAAAACACAGACAAAGGTCGAGGGTGTGCTTTCAGGTGTCGAAGTCCTGCAGTTCTTGGGGATAAAAGGCTGACTGATACATAGTTTTTCATAGAATCACAGAATAGTTGAGGTTGGAGGTCATCTGGTCCACCACCCCTGCTCAAGGAGGATCACTTAGAGCCAGTTGCCCAGGACCATGTCCAGACAGCTTCTGAATATCTCCAAGGATGGAGACTCCACAACCTGATCACTTAGGCCAGTTGCCCAGGACCATGTCCAGACAGCTTCTGAATATCTCCAAGGATGGAGACTCCACAACCTCCCTGGGTAACCTGTGCCAGTGCTCGGTCACCTTACAGTGAAAAAGTGCATCCTGATGTGTCCATTGCCTCTGGTCTTGTCTCTGGGCACCACTGAAGAGAGCCTGGCTCTGTCTTCTTTGCATCCTCCCTTCGGGTATCTATATACATTGATGAGATTCCCCCTGAGCCTTTTCTTCTCCTGGCTGAAGAGTCCCAGCTCTCTCAGCCTTTCCTTGTAGGAGAGATGCTCCAACATCTAAATCATCTACATGGCCCTTCACTGAACTCATTCCAGTAGGTCCATATCTCTCTTGTACTATGGAGCCCAGAACTGAACACAGTACTCCAGCTGTGGTCTCGCTAGTGCTGAGTAGAGAGGAAGGATCACCTCCCTTGACCTGCTGGCAATACTTTGCCTAATGCAGCCCAGGATACAATTTGCTGTCTTTGTCACAATGGTACTTTGCTGGCCCATGGTCAAGCTGTTTTCTACCAGGACCCCCACGTTCTTTTCTGCAAAGCTGCTTTCCAGCTGGGCAGCCCCCAGCATGTATTGGTGCATGGACCCCAGCATACAAGCTTGCATGGGGCTGTTCCTCCTCAGGTGCAGGACTTTTCGTTTCCCATTGTTGAATTTCATGAGGTTCTTTTCAGCCCATTTCTCCAGCCTGTCCAGCTGCTGAACGGCAGCACGATCCTCTGGAGTATTAGCCACTCCTCCCAGTTTTGTGTCATCAGCAAACTTGCTGAGTGCACTCTGCCCCACTATGCAGATCATTAGTGAATTTCCTCACATTTCTGATGGCCTTTATTAGGGTCTTGCTTGAATTGAGGTAAGTTGTGTAGCCAGTGGTGTAAACTGAGGTTTCCAGAGCTTACCTACTTCTGGTTTGTTCAAAATAAACTTGACACACCTGCTGCCTGATGAGAAACACCACTGAAATGAGGTTATTCATCCTTTTATTTTGTGTTACAGCACTGGCTGGAGTTTCGGTGTGTTGTCATGTCCTCATGGCTGTAGGTGTGATTTGTAATGTGGCGGGTGCACGCATGTACATAATTTTTATAAACCAGCCATGCATATTTATTCCTGCATTTCTACCCTATCCTTAGCTGAAAGAGAAAATACTTGTGTAAGAAGTTTATAAGAATTTGTATGCAGTAATGTGCTTTTAAGAAGGGCTGCCTGCTGTGGCAACTTCTGAACCTGTAGTGTGCATCTCCATGAGATTGCTGTCTGTGGTTTCAGATCGATTTCAGAAGCTGAAATTGAAATTGATCAGAAATCTGAAATTGATAGTGTGATGCAGTTACCATCTGGAAGTGGGGAGAGGCTGAAAATGTAGCTAGAATGAAGGAAAAGTGGCAGCTGGGAAAGGAGGACTTGGCAACAGGATGGGAGGAATTAACAGATGAGGAGGACAGAAGCTGCTTTTTTGATGATCGTCACAACTTTAATGCATGTTGTAATACAGCCATTTCAAATAGGTTCTCTTAGAGTATCATTGGCGGAGGAGGGCGGGGGGGGGGGGGGGGGGGGGGGCGCTTGTGAAGGGCACTGGATGGTGCCAATGGCTAGTGCTGTATATAAAAGCTGTATACAAAGGTGGTGTCATTCTGACCTTGCCTCATCCATTGGCTGGGATGCCACAGGATTGAAACAAGAGGGGGATAATTTTCTGAGTTTTTGCAGTGGTTTCTGTGGTTTGGTAATCAAAGACGGGAGCTGGCATAGAGAACAATGTAGTAAGAAGCATTCTCATTTATTTTGTTTTTCTGGATTTGTTCTTTCTTTGTTCATCTAAGGAGAAAGAGATATTATTTGTGTACTTAACATGCAGATAGGTTGCTTGTAAAACTGAGTTTTGACAGTAATGACAATGAATGTTCTTTTCTGTAAAGTATAGACAGCAAGACTTCAAGGCGCATTGCAGTCTACCACTCTATTATGTCTAGGAAGGTGAGATTATCCAGTCATCTCTTCTGTTGTTTTTCCCTCCCCTTCATGCATTATACAGAGATCAGTTGCAACAATATCATTTGTCATAGGGTATTTATTTACTAGGAATTTCTGAGTGGCCACCAAACAGCTGATTGTATGAGTCCATGCTGACTAAGGGAAAAAAGGCAAATCAATGATGTATCTCATAATTTGACATTTATGTAAGCTGATATTGCTGCCAGAAACAACAACAAAACCCTAGAAGGAGAACATGAGATAATCTTTCTTCTCTTGTATTCTGCTTAGACTTTGTCCTGACATGCTTAAGAGCTCTTTTAAAATTACTGTAAAGAAGAAAGCATATTCTCCACACCCTAGGTGAGATGCATGTAGTTATTTAATACTGAGAGCTAAATTAGCTTTATTTTTAAAGAGATATTTCAACTGTTTGAAGGGTTTCCATTTTAATGGATATTAATGAAAATCAACTAAAATAATTAATTTAGAAACTTATGACTGAGGAGTAATATGGTCTTTAATCACTTTTGTATAACCTAAATGGGGAAAAGAAGTGCTCAAATATTCATGAGAATGGAACTTGTGGCTTTAAGGGTAAAAATCAGTGTTAATCACAGTTTTGCAAAACTTCTGCTGTCTAATATCTTTGGAACAGAGTACATGCATTAAACTTCACATACTTTAGTATGACTTCAGTCTGTTGTGCACCTTTCCTAAATTACAATGGTGTGATCTTCAGTTTTAGATGAATGTATGAGACTTTTTTCGTGCCATGAGTTTATTGTATAATTGCATATTGTGTTAAACATTTTAAATATGAAATAAATGTGGAGCATTTCAAAATGTACCATTCCAAGGTTCAAATAAATATAGTATTTATTAAAGCACTTAAGTTTTTTTTGATCTATTATTGCACATAAATTCAGTACTAAATATGTTGTATTGCAGTTTTTCATTGTATTTTTCTGTGTTCCTTTTTTTTTAATTCTTGTCTTTTTAATTGCTTAATTGGTAACTTTTGGTCTTGATAGCCACAGCTGTGCTTCATCTGGCATATACATATTTATTCTAAATGCTGTGTGGTAAAAACCTTATTCCTTTGAGGTTGGTGGCTAGATTGCTATACTGATCTTATTACTGTCATTTTTGTTTTACACAGTGATTCAAAACTCTTTTCTCAGTAGTGATGTATCCTTGCCATATATACATAATTTCTCATGTGTTTCAAGGAAAAGAATTTCTAACTGCTGCCTTTAAGTGGATAACTCACTGTCCTAGAATTTTAATTATTCTTCTTCTGAAGGTTGACTGCTGCAGATATCTTTTTTCATTCTCCCTTTTCTTTGGAAACATTTCCTACCTGGTGTATTTGATTTATAATATCTGTGTATGTCTCAAATAGATCACTGGTCTTTTTTTTTGTCTTTTAAAATAAGGCGAGGTTTTTGGAAGAATGCATTAAATTTTGTGAATTTAAACAATTAGTTTAGGGGATAATGTGGTAACAGGAAACTCAGTCATCTGCCGTTCATGCAATAGATAAATTAAAATATCTTCACCTGTTTTCCTTAGAAGATGAAATTAAAGACGTGTAAAAGTAGCAATAAACCTTTTCTGTCTTCCATAACATTGTTAATTAATTAGGTTTCAATTTTGATCTGGAGGAACTAAAGCTAATCTTTTTGTCCTAGACCTTGTAACATTTCAAAACCTTATCAACTGATGATACTCCAGAGGGGTTAAAATAGTACTAGCTTGCCTCATTATCTGCACTTGAAAATCT